CCCCCCCCCTCGGTAGAAACCAAAAGCGGCAGACGCACCGCAAGCCCACCGGACCGGAGCACCAGCAGCTCGGCAGACGGCGTCGTGGGATCTCTTCAACCCTTCGACGGAGGACTTCGTCCTGCTTGACACACCGTGCTTCTGATGACAATGGTCTCGTCATAAGTGCTGCTGTGTCGTCGTCGAGATGGAAGAGCTACAGGAACCTGTTCTGGGAATCTCCCTCCGCCCCCAAGATTGCGTATGTACGCACCAAGGAATCGGACCGATAGTGCACGAATGGGTTCCCGTGCGCTCGGGCGCTGCGAGCTGTGCCTTTGTAGTCCTTGCTACGCAGAGTGCTGCCTTGGGTGCATGCTGCCTGTTGCACTTATACGGACGGGTTGGACTCATCAATCGAGTGAAAAGCAAGGATGACCGAGTCAGACGAGATGTATTTGCGGCGGAGCTTGTTGCTTGCCTCTAGAGTGTATGTACTATAGGAGTCGCGCTCCATGAGGAGAGGTTGTCATGTGTGCGCCGCGATCATCTCTTTTTCTTTGGCAGGTCTCTTTCTTGTCTCCGCGCTATGGAATTATTTTTTAGACTAAGTTAACGGACATTTATTTTTCTCCTATTTTAGTCGCAGCCATCCTTCGTTTTTTTGAGATGTACCTTCGGGAGCCCTGCATCTTCTCCGGAAGAACCAATTGCTCTGCAAAACCTACCGGCAGTCGTTGCCACGGAGCGGTTGAATTGTGTCTCACTTCAGGTGTGTTTAAATTTTCATACGTTTCACAGAGTATGTTTTTACAGTTTCGAAATCGCTTGTTGCTGGTGGCGGTCAACCACATCGTCCTTCCGAGGTACATTGTGTTACGGAGGAACGAACAAATACACGAGTTGCTCCTTTACCATTGTGCGTGGGGGTGGGGTGAGGGGGTACTGTCCCTCGCATTTGTTACGGAAGATGTTTCGAGGCTTCTTCGTTTGTCGCTTTTCCTAAGTGTAATATGTGAACTTTTGAAGTCTCGCTTTTCTCATAGGAGTAGCTTGACGGTTGGGTTAGAGTACCGGTAGTTTCTGCTGGCTGGGCGATGTAAGTGTTTCGTGTTTTTGTTGATGGTTATTTCTCACATGGTTGGGCGCTGAGCTTGTATTTGGCGTAGAGTGTCATGTGTCTGGCAGAGGGGGTGACACGTGGCGCCGACGTTCAGTTTATGTCGTATTGCTAACGGATCACGCCAGCGGACAGAACGCGATTCGAGGAATGTGGTTTTAGAATCGTCTCTGTGTGATGAATTTCAGTTTGTATATGTTCGAGAATACCAAGTTATTACACGTTGAGGGAAGGACCTAATACATGTGGTGAGTTTTGTCGCGAGGAAGCATAACGGCATGCATGCGCCGCAACTGAATTCTGCCGCGTTACCCGCGACAGCTCTTCAACTAGAGCGATGACAAACGAAACGGCAGGGGATCTTCAGGGCAACGAAGAATGAAGGGGAACGCGGGGTTTATTCTTTTTCAAGCTCACCGCTTTTTGTTGGACCAGTACGGATGTAAGACTGAGCGGAAACCGTAGCGGTTTTAATGTCTACACAACGACAAAAACAACGGCAACCGCTCGCATTCCACGTACATACAAGCGCGATTGAGATTCAATGAACATTTTTGTCCTATCGACCCGCCCCGCGTCGTGTTTTCTTTTTCGGGAGGTCTGATGCTGCATTGCTACAAAGGTTGTGATCGTACGTTTAGCCGGCCCTCCTTCGCCAACCGTGGTCCTCAAAGACCCCACGAGGTCGAAGGCAACTTCTTGGTTCGTCGTGTAGACAGCCTTGACAATGTAGAACGTTGTAACCATCATATCTCTGAAAGTGATCTCGGCAGAGATTGATGCGAGGCACCGTGCTGTGCACGGGCACCGTCCTTTGTCGATCGCGCGGGAAGGGCGGGCAACATGGTCCATGGGCGTGAGATATATATTTCCGGGGTGGACACTGCTGTGGTCCAGCGTCCTCCGCGTGGGATAACCACGAAAAGATGGAACTTCACCGTACAGATTCGTCTGAAACTTCTACCAACAGAGCAACCACTGCACACCAGTCAAACATGCATTGGGCTGACCCACTTCAACCCATATCCCCCTTCGCTCTCTCCCTAGGGATTTGAGTAAATCTTGCCACGAAGAGAGGTGAGTTGGTCAAAGGTCAGCCACCGTCGATCGATTTCATCTCACATGAAAGGCTGCCGTTGACTGCGATTCCCTCGAGCTACCGCTGCTTCCCTTTTCTCACTTTTCTTATATTTTTGTTCGGTGTCGTGATCTCCCGTTCGTGACCTCACTACGCCAACAGTCAGCCCTCAGGATCACAAGAAGCACCCTAACCATTCTATTTTTCGTCACCTAACATAGTTTCGAGACACATACTTATCTCAAATCGTTCCTACCTTCTTTCTTCCTCCTCACCCCCCCTGTCAAGCGATATACTTTTTATTCGCCTCTTGATTCTACTTTTCAGATTTTCCTTCCTTGTCGACCTGGTGCACGCAATTGTGGGAGATGTGGACGGAGGCCGAAATACACCGCCGGTAACGGCATGAACATCAAACCAATATCAAACCTGCACCCAGTCCCCCACCACCCCGTAAAAATCCCTTGGTTGCTGCTGCTGCGCGCTCGAGCCTACTACAATTGCTCGCTCGGAGCTCTTGCCCTATCGAAAACATGATGCGCGCAGAGCGAGTCGTCGTCCTGCCCCATTAGCTCCTACCGGCGGTGCCCCCTCCCCC